AACAGGGCTAAGATCCTGTGGGACTTCCAGATCCAGACGGACAGGCAGGTACAGGCCAATTGACCAAACATCGTGGTAGTAGACAAAGACCAGAAGACAGCAATGGTGATAGATGTAGTGGTGCCAAGTGACAGCAATATCAGGGAGAAGGAGTATGAGAAGCTGGAGAAGTATCAGGGCCTGAAGGAAGAACTAGAGAGGATGTGTAAAGTAAAGGCCAAAGTGGCCCCAGTGGTGGTAGGAGCACTTAGGGCTGTGACTCCTAAGCTGGGAGAGTGGCTCCAACAGATCCCAGGAACAACATCAGAGCTCTCTGTCCAGAAGAGTGCAGTGCTAGGAACAGCTAAGATACTGCACAGAACCCTCAAACTCCCAGGCCTCTGGTAGAGGACCCGAGATTGAGGAAGACACATACCACCCATAGAGGTGAGAGGGGCAGAGCTCTCTGTCCAGAAGAGTGCAGTGCTAGGAACAGCTAAGATACTGCACAGAACCCTCAAACTCCCAGGCCTCTGGTAGAGGACCCGAGATTGAGGAAGACACATACCACCCATAGAGGTGAGAGGGGAATTTTTATTTTTTTATAAACAGCTGACAAACCTCACTTCCCTATGTCAGAGCACTGATGATGTTACCTAGTTTAATAATGTGCTCTCTTATAAGAAGAAAACTAAGCTCAGAGAACATCAAGAATCCAACTCTTGAGATATTTCCCTTTAGGATCTCTCTCTCATTGTTTGTTGAACCTGTTCACCAAACCATTGGTGCATTTTATTTGAAAAAGCTTTTCAACCAGCTGCTTATCTTAGTAGCTTTCAGGTAACTAACTACAGAACTGCTTTTTCTTGGACAAGATGGAATATTCTGTCTAGAAGACATGTTGGGATTCTTCACCTCGGTTTGTCTACATAATGAACAGGATATCAAATCTGTAGCATCTTGCTCTGTTCTGCACTGGTACACTGGATCCTACCAGGTATTATGAAACCTATGCTGACTGCACAGCCAGCAGATCCACTCAAGCTTAAGTTAAATATTTGTTGGAAGATAAAATCCAAGGGTGATTCTATTAACACTGAATTTCTCACAGTGGCTATTAGAATAAGGAAACAATCTGTCAAAGGCTGCCTGATAGAATAGAAGTTATTTTTGTTCATTGCTGTGATGTATTTATGTACTACATTACTGGCAGTGGTGGTGGTTCTTCTTAGCATTTGTCTTACATGGGTTCCAGGGTCTGCTTGTTTTTGCACCGTGCTTGGCTACTTTACATAGTGAAACTATCAATGCATGAGGTGACAAGAGGTTTTTGTTTGTCACAGAGCTTAAGACAAGGGACAGCATGACTGGCCCAAGGTTACCCAGCTAGTTTCCATTTCTAAGGGTTAGAACTTGGTTCTACCCACTGCTAGTTCAGCACCTCAACCATTACACTTGATTGGTTCTTGTTCAATATTATTGATTCTTACATCCATATCTTTGCCAGTATCAACTGTTTGTGCTTACCTTAGATGTGGTTTATTGACTGAAATCATAACATTATACTCTACTTCTTTGGAATCTATGTTTTACTTTAATCTCTTTGGGAACACCAATCTGTTTGTAAACTCTGTAAGGTACACAGTACAGTTATGGGATGAAGCAAATAATAATTAAAAAGGTGACCAGCAGAATAGCTCAGGATTATCAATTTACAGTGGTATCTCGGGATACGAACTTAATCCGTTCCGTGACTCTGGGCGTATCCCGAGTTGGTCATAACCC